TTTTTCGGCAAATGCTTCTAGCTAAACAAATTAAGACTGGCCGCCAGAACTGGCAGGAAACACCCAATTAAAATTTCAGCTTTCCAGCTTTCCTGGCTTCTGAGTTAGCAACTTACTGGAAGAAACTTCCACGGGCCCGCACGTGGGTACCACGCATACCCGATGTCTGGTCTGAGCTCTTTGGGACTTACTTGGACGGGAAACATTTTCTCAAAACTACAGTCTTTTAGCTTTTCAGGTTCTGGAGTTAGCAACTTACCCGAAAAAACTTTGGTGAACCCGTGCGTAGGTACCACGCATGACCGAGGACTGGGGCTGAGCTCGCTGGGGCTAATGTAAATGAGCACCATCCTCTTAATATTACAGCCTTCTAGCTTTTCAGGTCCTCGAGTTATCAAATTACCCGAAAAAAATTTTGGCGGGCCCATACATGGGTGCCACGTTTAACCGGGCGCTGGATTTGAGCCCATTAATACCTACTTGGGCGGGGAACGTTCCCTCAAAATTTCAGCTTTTTAGCTTTTCTGGTTCGCGAGTTATCAACTTACCCAAAAAAATTTTGGCGGGCCCTTATGTGGGTACCACGTGCGTAAGAGGGCCCATTTTGGGGATGCGTGTAGATTAAGTTTCCGTAATTTCAGCCCCGTAGCTTTTGTAGTTCTCAAGATGAAAAGTCGGTACAGACGAACACACAGACACACGCATAGATAACCCCTCGTCAATATGCGTTTTCTGCATTATACAGCTGCAAAAAACGCATAAAAACAAAAAACATTGACTCAGGTTGTTTCCAAAGAGGCTACGCGGATAAGTTATGGAGGCTGTGGGTAGCAAAAGGACCATGAAAGAACCTGTACTATACAAAGATCATAATTCAGGAACAACAACTTTACACTGATCAAGAGATTTGTTTCGAAATTCCTTTGATTGTATAAGTCTGCTGCAAGTTAAGGCCTATAAGGCCTGTCTTCCTGCTTATAAACCGTGGGAATTTCATCCCTAACGCAGTCAAAGACAGAAATACATATTTTACCATCCTTTGACGCATTTGTGTGGTGCTCTCGCTGAATCCGTATCCCGGGCTGCCGCGTTTGCTGAGTCATCTTCAAAAACAAAAAATTCAGTGTGATAGATACCACTTTTTTGCTACTTGCCTTCGTAATTTATTGACTTAGTGTTTATGGATCTGCTCAAAAACAAAATTCAAATACCGGCGCTACTTCCCAAACGCCAATTAATTATAAAGAGGACTTTTTGATTTAATAGTAGGAGGAGAAATGACAAATAGGCGAAGTCTGAAAAGTAATGGAAAGCAATTCTTGCACAAGGAATTTACAATAATGTTATGCAGTACAGCTGAAAGGAGAAACAAATATCTGAAAAGAAATGTATCGGTCCACTGAACTGTACACATCCTGTGCAATCGGACCTCGTCAGTACGACGTTCGTGGTGTTGCTGAGAACTAGCAACTTGAACCGTCCGTATCACCTCCCTTCCCTTTCTGCCTCACTCCGTCTTCTCTCACCTAAATTCTACTGCTCAGTTATAGATTCTGAACTAATGCATTTTTACACCTGAACGGAGAGATCCAGAATGAGTAAGTTTCTGCCTTCTGAAACTGCATAAACAAACAAACCGACGACTGCAAATTCTGCATGTTCAGGACTGTTTATTCGGGACTTCTCGAAAAAAAAGCCGTGCGCTTTCAGTCGCTGGTTGAAATCGAATGTCGCATCAGCAATTTGTATATCCACCGTCAGCACTGCAGTTCTTTGTCCCGTCAGGATTAATCAAACAGGCGCTGGTACTAGCCATGCAAAGAAGAATTTTTTCCAGGAATTGTGTGCAAAATGTTCAGTTTGCACTGAACCAATCAGCAGCCTTTCCAGCATTTCTGAACGGCAAGGGGCAATGTCGAAAAAAATTTAATGGTGAACTCATCAACAGCTTCGCGAGTGAGTGATTTACACAAGCAGGTGTTGTCCTAAGTTGCTTCAGAGTAATTCCTACAACGATTGACATGTAAAGAGCGTTCTAGGAAAAACAAAGAAGAAGTTGATTTCTCACTTTTAGCTTCACACATAATCAGCAATTTTCTCCCCAAAATATTGATTTTTTAACGTTTGAGCTGCGAAATTAGCCGTAATTCTGAATCGGATTCAATGGCTAACATGGAGATTCTGTATAGTTTTGAAGTATTGCATAATAGGCGGAAGTCTTATCATAAACTTTCGTCTTTTTAGCCAACGTACATCCGGACTTATGAATTGCAGCAGACCAAAGTAACTTTTGGAGTTGAAGTATGTAGTTGTGCGAAAAATGCACACACACATACATGCATTTGACTCCTTGACGCGTTTTTTGCCACTTCACCGGCTGATGGCGTAGCATGAAAGTCAGCAAAAACATGTCAAGACTAAGAAAGTCCAGTTTATGAGTGTGAGTATTTCATGTTTGTGACATTACTCCTATAAATTGGGTGCAGTTTTGCTAAATCTTTTGATTCCAGATTCTTATCTTTGGTTAGTACCCTTGTTCGATGTACTTGTGCGGATTCTTCGAGGGCCGTCCGAGTGGTTGAAAAAATATATTTGTTAAAAGTTTCTGCAAAATTCAGTCGTCAACAATTGCATATATATTGCCCCATCCGGAACTTTGTCTCTGGAAAGTTGTTTAAGCCAACAGTGCCACATTACAACGAAAGCGCCAAAACAGCCAGTGATCAGAATCATACATTTGTCCCATGCCAACTCCTTTTCATCTCGAGCTTGTTCACTTATAGCAGACATTTTGCGACGACACCACCAAACCGCAGACTTAGATGGTAAAAAGTGAAAGGTCAACTTGGCGATCACACTTTTTTATAGGTATTTTACTTCATTTGAATGCCAGCAAGCGCATGTATGCAAATGAAAGCGTGATAAATAATAAGCATAGAATTGCATTGGAGGAAAAGCGCTCTCTGCTCTGCGAGCTAATTATACTAAGCTGTTTGTAGCATCAATGTTGATGGGTGCCGAAACTTTACTATCTACAAGCACCAGTGCTTTATACTAATTCCTAAAAGTGTGCAGAGGTATACCCATGGTTTAAGCTCAAAATACTTCTTTTGACGATAAATACCTTGCTTTGAGCTGAAGGATCGAAAAGCATACAGCGACACAGCACCGACATTCCGAGGATACTTATTTTACTGTACTAGTTAAGTGTTTCTCCGTTAGTCCACTTATCCATTACCTCTTTTACCTCATCGTTCGCTTCATTTCTTCTTTTCCTCCTAATTCCCTTTCCTCTCGATCATGCTCTTCCAAACTCTTTTTCTCCACTTTTAAATTATCGTCATAGCCGTAAGTGAGGAATAATTGCAGCGCTGAATTAATGCGCCCTCGAAACTCTTAGCTCTCAGTCTTCAGCTCACTTTCCTCTTCTTCCTTTACCCATCCCATTCTTATTTTTTCTTCCTTTAATCTTTCATTTAGCTCACATCCCTGCAAGCATTTTAGCAGTAAACAGTTGAACTACTTGGGGAACTATCCTTAATTCTGATTGTGCATATTTGTGTTTGATCAAAAAATGCAAACGAAAAATGCTTTGCTGCGTATGACTTTATATAAATTTCAGTTTCTCTAAATCAACTTCAGTGTCATTCATCCTCAGAAAAAACAGAAACGAAAACCAGTAACACTGGGAAGCAAGATGATTAACTACAGGCAATGCTGACAAGAAGTGTATTCTTCGATTACTGTATTCTTCGATTTTGAACATCAAACGCAATTTTCGACATTTGCTTTCTCGTCACCTGTGTCTGCTTTATTTAGCTCAAACTGCTTAGGGATCCACTCTTTGTTTAGCTCGCGGATCAAAGTATGAAAATTTCAAAGCTGCACAAAATAAAGAGTTTTTTGATGAATGAATATAAGTTAGAAAAGAACCTAAAGAGTCTGATCTCAAGCATTTTACGGTAGCCAAGAGACTTGGCCTATTAATGATGTTGAACGAATTATTTACAGTACAATCACTGTATCGGAAGTCGACGAGGATAATTTGATGCTATTTTTTCTTCATAATTTCCGCTTCTTGTTTTGCAAGAAGAAGATTCGCCTCGGTATCCGTTAATTACTCGACTGGCTCCACAGACTGCGTATGCGAATCATAACGCAATGTAAAAGGCCGTTTTGTCGTGGAAACAAAACTTCTGCAAATATTTTTGATAAGTTTATTGCGTATGGATGACTTGTGAATCCTGGACGAAGCTCATCTCGATTAGTGAGCTGGTTCACTATCAGTGAGGATACTTGAACATCCGCCACTCAGATCATATTCAGGATGTAATGTAGTCCCAGTCGGCATATCGAGGTGAATTAATTACCAAAAGGATGAAAAATTCGCGTCCTCTTTCTCAGTTCTCGCGGGCACTCGCGCCAGCTGTGGAATTTGTCTTGGAATTTGCCCAGTCAGATTTGCAGCTGAGAAATAGGTTTTAATTTCTTGAATTTTTCCACTGTTACCTTGAGAGCCTAGTTAAAGCGTACTGCAATTATATACCTGCAACCATGTGCATAATTTTGGAAAATAGTTGCGAACCTGAGTTTGCAGATTGCTTCTTCAAAACTTTTTGTGTAGAAATAGCATTGCTGGAATTGAGTTACCTCCGGTTCCGTCGCAATTACAGCTTTCGGCTCAAAAGGCTTCAATTTGGCTTCGCTCGTCACACAAAACTATAAGAGGGAATTGATTGCCATGTACGGATCCCTTTTCACAGATGCGCAAGCGTTTGGTAGAGACTTTCTTTTCTGACTTTTATTGTTTATGTGATGAGAAAGTTTATCCAGAAAATTACTATAAGTAGCATGTTGTCAAAAATCTTAGGAAATGATGGAATAAAAATTGACGCGACGAAAACTTAGCTGGATTACCTTGAGCTCGTCGAAACACGACAATAAACCGGCACCGTAGACTTTCAAATTTCGTCTTTTCTCGTCGAACTCCTCACCTTCGGTCGATAATCCAAATTCGATTGTGAAGAAGTATAACTGAAATTATCATGGACAACTGACCTGTGTGACTCTTCTATGCACAAGCGTTTGGTAGAGACTTTCTTTTCTGACTTTTATTGACTTGTGAATTTTCACTCTTTTCCTGAACTGTTGTGCTTTCAAGCTGAGAAAAATGATAGCGAAAAGGGCCACCCCAAATCAGAAGTACAAAGAATTAATACCTGGTGGCTAAAAAACAGTTTAAGCGGCAGAAAAAGCGAAAGTTTGAAATAATAAAATACCCGCGCTAAAGCGGTGCAAATGTCCTCTGGAGCTCCAAGACTTGCGAGTCCTATTTCCTGGCTAAACTGCGCAAATTCGGAACTTGTAAGCATCGGCATGTGTCCAAGAATTTCGTGGCATAGATCCCTTAATGCTTGTAGTTAATTCCGAAATTCAGCATTACTTTGCTGCCATGAAGAAATAATTTAGTGGAAGACATACGGCTCAGGAGTGTAATAAGGACTAGATTCGTGGCGCATATACTGAGTGCAACAGAATACACGAAAAGCCAGTCCGGCAAGAAAATCCCGGGGCGTTAAATAGCCACCACATGGACGAAGAGTGAATCCACTTCGGTCTGTAATAAAGTAAGCGATATCAAATTTATTTTATCTGCGAATTTGGAAAGTCTTAACATGACAACAACATTTCATCAATGTTCACTCTTTACGAGAGGTGGAAGCATCCTGGAAGTAGCCTGAATGTTAGCAGATACCAGCAGCAACCCTCCACTGCTTCTTCTGGCAAAGCTGCCGATGACTCCTTTCTTAGATGATTACTTACAAGCAAGCTGATGGCGATTTTGACTTCCTGGCAGATGCCAGAAGAAGCAATACTGCATGCTCGAGTCTACAGAAGTCTAAGATTGCTAGGTGGCCCACAGCCTGGCTGAAAAAATCCATGAATTGTGCAGAATTTGGGAAGTCCTTTGTAAAAGTGCGATACTTTTAAGAAAATTTGTTATGTCTTCCAACTGAGGAATATGATTTTCTTCATAGCCGCAGTACTTCTCGAGCAGCTTGAAATTATCCAGATATTCTTTGCATGCCACTTTCTGATGTAGCACTTTTAAATCACGGTAAATTGTACGCCTAGAAAAATAAAACAGGACAATAGAAATGAACTTTCAATTTCCCAGTAAAGAAATTTCAACTTTTTAGCTTGTTTAATAGTAGAATTAAAAATGTATAGCGAATACACTCACATACACAAAGCACGTGGATCTTGCCGCAGTGTAGTTTTTGCACTTGCTTGAATGCACAAAAGACATAAAAAGCAAAATTAGAGAAAGACTGTCACCGGGGCCTTGTATTTCTGCTAATCTACCACCACTCTTAACATCTTTTCGTCCTTTTACCGCTATAACCATTACTACTGGCAATCAAGCACTCACCACGTCGCAGTTTCTGATGATGTATAGTCAATTCGCGGTATTGTTGTTCCGCTATAAAATGCACAAATGAACATATAATTCGGGGAACGAAATTATTATTAACATAAATAAATAGCAGCGCGCACCAAAATATCCGGTGCGATCATGCATTTTGTGCAGTCCCGCCCACCGAACAGTGAAAATCGTTGCCCGATAATGATTTTCACTGCTTCGCATTGGTCTGTGCAGAAATAGTTGAAATGTTGGAAAATGGTCAAAAATTTCACGCACAGCTACCTGAAAGCTGAATTTGAAACCTCAGAGGGTGAATATCCTTCCAAAATTTCAATTTTCTAATTTTCTTTGAGACAAGACTTCCAAGTGGTTGTATGTTAGATCTCGACATACTTAGAAATTGAATTTGAGTTTTAAAGCCCCTGCTTAGGCAAGAAACATTCTCCTGAAATCTTCTGCTTCCAAACTCTTCTGGCTTCCGAAATAATGATTTTTCTAGCCAAAACTTCCACAGGGACGTTGAAAATTCGCGATGTTGTACATGGGCAAAGGATACCATGTTAAAATTTCAGTTTTCTAACTTTTGCGTTTCACGAGATAATTTTTCTACCAAAACTTTCACGGGGTTGTGAATAGAATCCAGGGGTATATGAAGGTTGAATCCAAATTTGCAAGGGTCCTACACCGAAATAATTCTCAGCCAAGCATCCTACATTTAGAAATCGGAGACGGGAAAGAAATCAACCTCTCGACCAAAAGGGTAACCCACTCGAAGTCAGCGGCAACATTTACATATGGTACCATTTACATGGTACCATATTTATGGTACCATATAAATATGGCACCGCGCATTTACATATGGTGCCACGCCGCGTATTCTGCGTACGAGGCGTGAATTTTGGTAGGACCTGTGCAAGGTTTGAAAAATCTGAAAGTAAAATTGGAAAGTTCGGAAGCAACATTTTGAAAAATTATGTCCATTTTTATGCGTTTTTACGGTGCAGCGCTGTAGCAGCGCTATCAGCAAAAACATATATTGTCGAGAGGCTCTCTGTGTGTGTGTGTATGTTCGGAAAGCGAGTGCATTTTGTCACCCACTTTCTTCTCAGCAACCAGGAAAGTTGGGAGGCTGAAACTTTAGATATATGTTCCTACCCCGTGTGTCATCCTCTCCTTTTAAGATCTTTCCCCATACACGCCCAGGTCCCGCGTACGGGACTCCCAAAAAATATGCTGGCGGGAAACGATTTCGCGAACCAGGCAACGCAGAAAGCTGAAATTTTGCAGGGATATTCTCTATGCGCGTGCGAGCTAAAGATTTTAAACTCAGCTGTCGTGCACCCCAACCGCAGCCTCAAGCAGCTCCTCAGTCCAAAAATTGTTAGCGGCTCGGACCTGAACTGCTATCGTATATGTAAGTGAACATGGATTTTTTCACAAACGACAGCTCGAGCAATACTTTCACTTTTTAATTAACTGGAAATTTGCATTTTTTCAAAAAATTTACATTTGTCATTTTTTCACAAAGCAAGCACTTACTCGAAAAACAACCGGACTTCACGCAAAAAGCCGGTAATCATGCACTTGGATGTCCGTGCGGCTCTATAAAGCACCGCCTTCATCCCAATTGACACCCTTCCTCTTGCTTGCCGGAAAGGATCAATACGGCCAATATGACCCAAGCGTTAGGCTGCAGCGTAGGGATCATTCTTACTAACAGCGATCTGCGAGGTTAGTGCAAAAACGCATGATCGCACCGAAGGGCCTGGTGCGTTCCAGACTGGGTTGAAAATTTGGCGGCTTGCCGGAAGCTGAGAGCATTTGGTGTTGCAAGACTGAGGAGCAGGAAAATCTCGATTTAAACTCGGTGGCCTGCAACATACTAAAATACTAAAGCGGGACGTGAGTTCATTGGTGCACCGAATACTTGATGTTAGCTTACGTCACTTAAGTTCCCCAAAAGCTTTACGGGGCCGTAAGTGTTACTCGCGGCAGAGGAAGATTGAATTTAAATTTTTCTGATCGCACTTAGGCTGGAAAAATATCTCTAAATTTTCAGCTTCCTAACTTTTGCGGTTCCCGAGTTGAAAGTTGCGGACAAGTTGCTGCGGGTATACACATACATGCAGACAATCCCGTGACAATATGCGTTTGGTGCAGGTGTTGCACAGCACAAAACGCATAAAAATGAAATACACAACCTGGGTGCGTTGCCGAACCGAATACGTTACGTTGGCTTAGTCAATTTTCAAATGCAGTTGAGCAAATGGACGAAAAAGTTCTCTGAGCTAATGTATCGAACTTGTCTGAGAAAAGTTAGAAATTTGCGAATGTGCGACTTGTTTAACTGTTTGGGCGCATCTCTAGTATTGAAATATCCGCTCATTCGGCAGCAGCAGATGACTTGCAGATATTTTGAAAATAAATAAGCAAAAAATAGTCTGTTTGTCAACAAATCGGTAAAAGATTAAGCAAAATGTAAGTTTCATTCTTTTTTACTTTCTTTGGAATGGAAGGTCGGGGCATAAACCTAAAATACTTATATACATGAGGCTAAAAAGTCTCAAAGTCCCGTTTCAGCACTGACATAACTCTAATTACATCTTATTAATTATGCCCGGTGCGGATGCGTATTATGCCAATTTGTGAATTTCTGCAATAAATGGTTTACTGTTTGTAGTCAGACGCAACATCCCAAAACCATTCACGTCGTTTTCGGTATTCTTTGTCTTTGAAACTCTGCAAAAATCAGTACTGAAAATCAAGTTTTAAGCGAATTCGGCGAGACTTTAAAAACAAAAAGGCCTGAATATAACCAAAATCCTCGAATTCGGTTTTGTGGAGTGTCTTCATAGAGTCTCTATTTTCAGTCTAGTTGGATCTGTTTAACAGTTCAGCGTTTTTCAGCATTTTGTCACTTTAGCTGAACGAAACGGAAGCTCGTGGCATCATTCTGAATTATTTTCATTTTATTACTCTTTGCGCACACTTGGTTTGCTGAAAAATCTTGTAGAAAATCTTGTAAAAAATCTTGTAGAAAATCCTAGTGCTAAAGTAAGCCCACCGTGGCCTAGGAGTTCCAGGCACAACGATGATTTTCAACATAAAAAATCCTGCCAAGTGTTTTTGTTGTGGTGAGCTGTTGAGCTGGCAAATCACCCAGGAGACGAAACGAATGTCCAGATCACTGATGGCAGCCTGGTAATCGTGCCAAGCCGCATCGGACAAAGAAACAATAGAAACAAAGCATGAATTTTCAGGTTTTTCAAGTAAAATACAAAGTTTTACTATCACATTCTACCGGCTATTTTTTTATTTTTCTGTTTTTGTCTTATTATGTCGACATTTTTCATTTTATCGGCTCAACAATATTTATTTTTATTAGTTTCTCTTGTACTCTTGTTTTCTTACCAGTTCTGCACAAAAATTTTGTATTTTTCCGGTAATTCTGCGGTTAATCTCTTTTAAGTTTTTGCTCGAAGACTGTCTTCTTGTGTGATAGGTTACTGTATTTAATTAAGATGTATGTACTTTGAAAGAGAATTTTTTATAGTTTTGATACTTAATTTTCATTCTTCATTCTTTGTTTTCTCTATTCCGTTGTGTGTTGGGGCTGTTGTATCACTCGTTTCAGTGTTATAAATTTCGAGACTTTCTGTTTCACATTTGCAGCAATTATTTTCAAAGCCTTCCTGGACTGGGAAATTAACGTAGATCGATTAAATGATACACATTTTTTAATACAACGTTCTGTTTGTTTGTTTTTTTATAAAAGTAATAGAGCAGATTTCCAAACAAATGGAAAGAGAAGGGACTGTGGGTAACTTTTTTATGAAAAAGAGGCGATAGATGAGGTGATTTTAAAATCTACCAGCCACGATTTAGACTCACTGGTTCTACGAGCAAGGATGAAATGATATACTCATAAGCTAACCGCATGATCGGCATCTAGTCCAGTGGGATTGGTCGGATCATACATGATAACATTGTTGCAGCAATAGTCCAAGTCAGCAATCTGCTTCGGGTACCATTTACCCGACGCAAGGTCTGCAACGGGGTGACGCATCGTATGAAACAGTATTCTATTTTAATCAAAAAATTTTTTTTTGACAAAATCCGAATGTGCCAAAACAGTTCAGCAGTGAAGAGCTACTAGCACGGTTAACGGGTTGCCTACGCTACACCAAGGAAATAACTTTTCTGGTTCACTGGTGGCATCAATTTGGACATCATATGCAGTGATATTACTAGCTGGCTCTTACAGGCTAAGCGCAGCTACGCCAGGCCTTCGATCAAAAATTTTGCATAATGTGTAGAAAGTAGAAATGGGATTTCATATATAATGCAGACTCTTTTTGGTACCTCAAAAAAATGCAGACAAAGATACCAGTGATAATACACACGCGCACAAAAAGATGTTAATTGACGACAGTTTGTATATAACTGATAGTCTATGACGTTAGTTCATATATAAAATGTAATTTATATAAAATATAATTGATCAGCTGAGCAGGAACTTTTTGACCCATTAAGTAATACATGTCCCTGTTCAGCACTGCAGTTGGAATGCTAAAAAACAACAAAAAGGAGGGTTTTACTTATTAAACAGTATTCGAAACAGAGAACACTGAATAGATTTTACTCTGTGTTAAGCGGCTTTATGGTACTGTGTAAATAAGACAGCTGAATTTAAGAGGTGAGAAGAAACACGGTGATGAAAC